GTAGGAGTTAGATTCAATTCCTGCATTTTCTAAGATAATTTTTTTTACTTAGTTTGATTTCTGCATTTGTCTGAGGACTCTTCTCATACTTGGGCTTGTATAAATCTTGGTAAGCCATTTTTCCTACGGGAAGCGCTGCCGAAATTTCTGCAAATCCAAGGAGTTAGACAAATCTCTGACTTTCCAAAAGTTCAACTGTCTGAATCATATATGGATTAGTAAGAATCTGGGAAGTCTCCCTTTCTAAAGGGAGTGTTGCCTAAATTTTCACTAATTCAGGGAATTAGACAAAATTGAGCTTTAAAAAGTCTAAGACTATTCCCGTTTTTATATTCAGGCTTATACAAATTCTGGAAAGACTGTTCTCCTACGGGAAGTGCTGCTGAAATTTTTCTTAGTTTAGAGGAGTTAGATTATATTATGAAAGTTGGCAGAGTTGGCAGTCCACTCTGTATAGGGAAAACCMAACCTGAGRTCTACCWTTTCTTTGAGCCCTGACTAAGGACTAGGCTCAGACCTAGTTGGCTACCGGAAGGTCAGATAGAACCACCATATAGAAGATAGTTCGCATAAGGCTTACATGTTTGGTCTTTGGCGTTGACCTGTCTTATGTTACAGGCCGATCTGATTCAGGACTTGGGCTAGTTCAGCTGATCCTGCAAAAATCATCATCTGTTATCACTGATAACATGTCGGTTGCCGATTCGTCGGTTCACGTCTCAATTTCTACTCGGTCTTCACACTCAACCTAAAAGGCTTTAGCCTTGGTGATATTCTTGTTTGTTAAGGGTTTCACCCGGACTTTTATTGAATGACCATTTAACAAAGGTACTGAGTATTTATTTAAGGTTGGTTGGGTGGAGGTTGGGGCTTGCATGGCTAAAGGAAGGGGTATGAGTATATGAACTGGTTGGAGTTGACTCCGTGTAATGTGTGGACTCTTGTCTAACTTTTGATGTGATTGCAGGTATATTCAGAGACTTGGGGTTTTGATTGGGCTGCCTTGCGGTCGCACATATATGTATAACCAGAAGGAGACCCACTATGATTGTGAGAAGTGATCGTCACATTATTATCCCCCTTGTGCGTATGTATGTGCGAGTGTACGTGTACCTACATGAGGAATTAGCGCGGCCTGAAGTGCCCGCGCCGTAAAGACCCCGAGTCTAACACGAGAGGAGTTTTTCTTTAATAAACGATAAAAGGGCTTGTTTCCCTTCCTTGTTGCGATTTATCTTGGTGGAACGATAAAGTTCTCGGCGGAAGGGTTAGCGTGTCGCTGGTGATGCGCCAGACAACTCACCATCGCTCCAAACCCCTTCCCGCCCTGGGGGCCGTCTTACCCCGCACCCGTTGGGACACCTTAGGGTGCAAAAGGCGGAAAGACCCTCAGGCCGGTTTTGCGCTTGCTAAAGGGTTGCCTCCCCTTAGCTAGCGCTTCAGCCAATGCCTGAGCATCGAAGATAACCCCATGGCTCAGAATAGGCCATTTGGGTATGGGCACTACATAAAGCGTCGTCATTACAGTTACTCGCGTAGAACTGCGTAGCGAGATAGTATGTGTAAGCCCAGCGCCCTAACGATCTTATATTAAGTTCGCGCGCGCAGTACTCGTCGCATCCCACACTAAAAGAGTTATGGGTCAGGTGGCGAGACCACGAGCGCCGCTACCGCCTATTCAGCAAAAGCCGAGGGGGATAGCCCTAGCAGTCCTCTACCCCTCACTTTGTCGCTCCGCTGCTCCGCTGCTCCCGCGTTGCCGCTTGCTGGCCTCGAACCCCGAACCTTCGTATCCGCAACCTGACACCGTAACCTATAGGGCTAAGCCCAAGCCTGGGATCAGCGGGCGCTGCATCCCACATAAAGTGGTGCAGTCTAGTGCCTGAGGCTGGCACATGTCCGCAGGCCCATCCCCGCCTATGGATAAGCACACGACCGTTGTGCAATCAGGCTGCCTTATGTACCACCCCACATACTGCCCCTGCCGCTGGTTAGATAGGGCCAACAAATGTCAACCTACCAACCCCTGGCCTAATCGAGGGTGCGAAGTCAGGCCGGACGTCTACATTAGTGGTACAATCAAAGGGGCAAAATCACACGCGCGTCTTGAAACTGCGCGCCCACTCACTCTACCTACTTAGACAACCTTGGTCCATACGCAGGTAGCCGTGTGAACCCACAAGCCTGGGCCGGCGGCCCCTCTGTCACTTGCAAAAACCAGGGCGAATACCCTTGTAAGGGTATTCGCGCCGACAGCCTACCGGACTATATTAAGTGACGTCCTCGTCGCTTCGAAAAATCAAAAAGTTATCAATCCTTCCATACACAACAATGCTGACGAGAAGGAACCAATCCGATCAGCCGACAGACTTAGGTTCGAGGCCCCCAACGGTCCATGCCCACGCAACTATATGCTGTCAGGGTTTTAACCTGGGTCTCCATTGTCTTGACACTAGGACACCGGTGTACTACGCATCAGTACTACAGCATAAGTTTCAAAAAAGGCCCTCATACCCGTCCTCGCCCCTTTGTCCTAGACAAATGCCGGCCTCTCGTTGAGTGTCCCCAGTCCCTACCTGGTAAGCAGGGTCATAACTGGGGACGCGGGCCCTAACTGAGACCTTTGAAGGCATTTTGCCTTTCTCTCAAGAAACTCCTCATAGTCAGACACATATTTGTGTGCACCCTTAAATCTCTTTCAGCGTCTTCCGCAGTCTAGTACGGAAGCGCTAGGTCTCCATCTTGGCCCACCATAGCCTGGGCGATCAGGCCAGATCTACGGCCCACTGGGTTGTTGTTTCAGCGGTGGTGCCCTCCCAGGTTGCGCCACGATAGGCTTCCTCCTGATAGGTACTCAATCAGGACTTCCTGAAAAGACTCACATGACTCGACTCCTACCCCAGGCCGTCCCACAGGGGTAAAACCTTCCCAGGCAGCCACACCCATTAAGCCTTTACTCCCGTGGTGGTGCCAAATCTTTACCGTTTAGCTTGGTCTTCCTTATGTGCCTTGAGATTAGCACAAGCGGTCGGGCGGTGCGTCACAACAAATACAAGCCTACTGCGGGACTGCGCATAGGCTCATCACATATGACAGGCAACGACCAGCTCTCTGTGGGACAACACAGCGAAGGCATGGCAACCTCTCCACATTCACAACCATAAGGCACCGCCAGATCCACCAGACCGTGACTCCCTAACTTGATCAGGGTAAGAGGGTCACACATCTCAGGGACACCTCTCAAAAGCAAACATTTTTGCGACATTCTCAAGAAATTTCACCGAGTGGCATGTAAAACCTGGTCCCTTTCGTCAGTCTTTCACCTTACCAACCCAGCTTTTCATGCCATCAGATCTACTACTCATCCTCCCTATAGGGGAGGTCTCACTCAATAGGTCTGTCAGCCATCCCTCTCTTCCTTAGGATGGGTTCTCACATGACCTGTGTAAAACATCTTCCTTTTCTGAAGATAAGTCTCCCAAATAATTCACAGTGTATAATTCAATCATGGCAACAGTACAACACAAGGGGCCAACTTATGGGTCCCTAATACAATTTAGATACTTAAACATTTGGCATGATAAGCTTTCGAGTCCCAAGGACTCATAGACCCTCTAGAATTTTTACAACTCTCTTTCACAAGACAGACTGCACTCCCTCTCCTTATACTCGGCTCTAGCATCTGCCCATGGGCAGGTCGCACGAGTATACCGAAGAGTGGACAGTTTGCATTCACTCACAAGGTATAAACATACGAGTTGTTTGTCACACAAATCCCATACAAATCATCATACATCGGAAAGCCACACATGCGAGAGTGAGAGTGATCGTCATACATAGGGAAGTAGCCTCAGAGTCCCAACTCAGTATATACTCAACAATATGGTATCTCTCAAATCTCAACACCAATACTCAAGTGTTTTGTACCCTCTCATATCGAGCGGGTTCACACCCTAAATGTTACTAACTCTCACACCACCCATAGGTAAACCCTGATCTCAAAACAACAAAAAAACAAATACGATCGGGTGTCCTAAGTATCACACAACTAAGTCTCGTTCCTAGGATCACAGCACGGACATAACCTCAAGCCTTATTGTACATTGGTCCTTTGTCGCATGCAACACCCTAAGATACACGTATCTGACTCGTGATACCCTATGCCCTTGATCTTTTATTCTTTCTACGTACAGAAAACATCTCACTTCTATTGGCGAATAGGCGAACCAGCCCCTCACTCGCTCATCTCCTCCTGGTTTTGCCTATACAACAAGGCTCGACCCCCATCCGGAGCCCTCTCTACCACTCGGCCCTGTCTATCATACATCTTGCCACCTTCCTCAGTAACCCGCCCCTCAGCCTTGTCCTTAAGGAATTTAGGACAGTCCAGGGCCCTATGCACTCCGTCAAAAAAATAGAAACACATAGCCCCAGATTTCCTTTGAAATCCCTTCTTCTTTTTTTGGGTCCCTGGCGACGGGGACACCTCTTCCTCCTCCTTGCCCACTTCATGACTCTGGGGTAGGTGCCACGGTCTTTCAGCTCCCCCTTCGATTCCCTGGGCACTTGACTCCCCCTGCTGCATCTTTCCCTCGGGGTGGTACTCAGGGGTATCCAATCTCAGTGGCCGGCCCTCGCGGGTTACCTCCAATATGGCTTCCTCCTCCCCCTCTCTGGGCCTCGGAGCCTAGGGAGTAGTGGCTCTAGTAGGCTGGCTCGTGGCCTCCTGCTGTCGCTGCTCAGTAGTCGGTCCTCCCGACTCGGTCCCAGTCGCCCATGAGCTTAGTTGTGCTCTCAATTCCCCCATCTCTGGCTCGTGTTCCGGGGTCCTCCGCTTCCGAGGCTCCTCTGGCGGCATATCCACTTCCATGGAAGCAACCAACTCGTTCAAGCGGGATGGCTCCTCCCCCTGTGCCTCAAATCGTGGAGGCTCCATCGTTCCAGTGAGAGTCCCTTCCTGTACGTCCATAAGGATTGTCAGTGACTCCTCTGCCTCCCCCTCTCCTACTGATGCAGGTTGGGGTTCTTGGGTCAGCGCCTCCATAGGAGCATCTGCCGAAGTAGCGGCCTCCTGCTGTGAAGCCAGCTCAGTGGGAGCCTTGAACTCAAAGCTTCCGTTGTTGGCTTCCTTCCTTGCCTCTGCCTCAGCTGGGTCCAAAAATACCTTCCCCAACTTCTCTTGCTGAGATGCCTCTGTTGCCTCCTCTTGGCCAAACAACCCTTGCACCTCCTTGCCTTGGATGCCGTACCTGCTCTGCTCAGTCCAGTCGATCACCTTGGTGGAGGTAAGTCTTTCCACTGCGGCCGCCATTTCCTTGAGCTTTGCCTCCCACTCAGCCTCCTTCGCCTCCAGGCGAGCTTGCCTGGCCCTACTCTCGGCCCTCTCCTCTGTGAGTTGGGCCGTCAGCTGTTCCACCTCGTCTTTCCTAAGGGCCAACTCATCACTAAGCAGGGAGTACCTTTGAAAGGCCTCGATGGATGTCTGCTTTATCTCCTTGTCCACCCACTCGATAGCCTTTCTAGTGGCGGTAAAACCCAGCTCCCCAACCTCTATCGCCTCGTCCGCACCCTCAATTGCCTGGCCCGCCTCTCGTGCCCTCTGGCGAGCTGCCTCTCTCTGCCCCTCATATCTGGCCCACAACTCGCCAATCCTCTCTTCACTTGTCTTTGGGGCGACTGGTGGCCTTGGGGCTATCCCTGCAGCCTCCATCCTGTCCCTTCGCTCATGTATCTCCTCAAGGCGAGCTCGTACCCTAGCATGCTTTGCTTGGGCGGCTTTGTCTGGCTCCTTTCCTGTGCCTGCCTCCGCGACTTCCCCAGTCGCAGCCTGCGAATCCTCCCCTAGCTCAGCACCCGCTGGCCGCGATGATGGCCCAACCAGGCTGGGCTCCTCAATGTCAGGGTGCTCGGCTGCGTGCGTGGCTAAACGTGAGTCGACAACCAGGCGGGGCTCCGTCCTCCACCCCTCCATTGGCCCTCTCGCCTCAACCTCCTGCGTGGGTGACATAGTGGCCTCTGGTGATGGTACTGGGGCTTCCTGGCTGTCTCGCTCCGCGACGCCCTCTGGCCAGGACCGCCGTGTCTGAGCTCGAGTTGGGGAGTCAGGGGGAGTATCACCTTCCACCACAATGACATCTTCCGCACCTACCCCCTTCAATCTGAGCGGCTCTGTTTTGGGCTCTGGGCGAGTCTGCCCTCGCCGTGATGGGTCCGTGGGGCTCTCTCCTGGTGAAGGGGCCTCCCACTGGGACGCGTCCAAGTGGGCCTCCAGGCCCCTAAATGGCGCTGCTGGTACCTCACTCTCCCTCTGCTCTGGTGTCTGTGGCGAAGGCCCCAGTAGGTCACCCTCTGTGACTTGATGGAACTCCACCTGCCTTAGGCCACAAGCAGGGAAGGACTCCCTTGCCCTAGTTGGCCCTGCTTGTCCTCCCTCCCGCTGTGCCAGGGCCTTCCGACCACCTCTCGACGTCACCAACTCCCTTGCCTCCAAATCCCTTAATCTCTTGCTCCGCCGCCTTCTATCAACCCTTGGTTCTGGCCTCTCTGGTTCCGGCCGCCGAAACGCCACCCTTGGCTAGGCCTGACAATCCTCCCAATCTCGTGCCCGACCCTGAATTTGTCTCGCCAGCGGACGCTCCGCTCCTTTGGTCCAAATGAGTAACGCATGCACCCACTCATCCATCGGAACCCCCTGATTGCTCATATACTGTTCATATGCCGGGATGAACTCCTCCACATTCCCTTCCTCCAAGCGAATAGGTAGCCCATCCCTCCCTAAAGGCAAAACTCTTAGTCTCTGCATCCTCGCTTCCATCTCCGACCAAGTCAGAGCCTCCTCCCTGATTTGCTCAATGGGCTCCTCGAACCTCCCAACTCCCCTCAAGTGATGCACCCTCTCAGACACGTCCCATCCTCTTTGGGCTGCATGCTCTCGGTAGGCGTCCAAGAAGAGCTCGATGTTGTCGTCATCAAACACGGGTGTGGGCTCATGCCGCTCCTCCCCTCCGGATGCCCCGAGAGGTCTCTGTCGTGGCCGCGTGCCCCGCCCGCCCCTTTGCATGACTGCCTTCAAAAAGTCAGACCTGCACATCAGGCGAAACGAAATAAGCAGGCACACGACAGGATCAACATGTGGGCTCGGCAGTCTTCAGAGCAAGTATACACCCAATCTCAGACACATCAAGCCTTTCATCGCTTTCAAGCATGGTATGTAATACTTAGGACGAGGGTCCACTCCGGGAGGGATCACAGCGACTGGGAGGGACTGCGGTTTTACCTATTCCCTGGCCACGAACTTTTTCAGCCTCATCCCGGATACCCAATCTTTCCATTCCGTGTTGTTTAGCTCTTCGATCTGGTACGCCCCAAACTCGCCGCATCGCACAATCCTGTAGGGCCCCAACCATCTTTTGTCAAGTTTTCGTGACCACTGCTTTTCCAGGGATGAGTCATATAATAGCACACTATCTCCCACTGCCAAGGGCTCTTTCCGTACCTGGGCCATTTGGTCCCACCTCATCTTATCCTCCATGCGACTTCTCTCTACCTGACCAGTGGCCTCTCGCAATCTTTCCTCGGCCGCTCCCACTTGCCATGCCCGAATATCGAGCAGTTCCTCAAAGGACAGGTTTACTTCCAAGTCCTGGCGCCTCCACGTTTTCATAAAGCTTTCTATAGGGAAGGTGGCGTGCCTCCCGTACCATAGTGTGGCTGGCGCATACTTGGTAGTCCTCTTCACCGTGTAATATTCTCCACGAAAAAAGCCGCTCGTAGGAATTTCGGCCACTGACCAGGCTTGCCCTCCGTCCACTTAGCCAAGAGATTCGTGATGGTACTGTGCCCCCTTTCCACAGGAGCGTTCGCTTGAGGGTGTGCGGTCGTAGTATAGTTGGCCACTACCCCGTACCCTGCAAGCAAAGTTCGCACCTCATTGCAAGTAAACTCCGACCCCCGGTTCATCACGAACTCCTTGACGAAAGGATAGCGCAGGTAATACTCCTCAATGTGATGTGCCAAAACCGGGCCAGTTTTCGTCCGGATGGCCCGCCCGTCTACAAACCCGGTGAGATTGTCACGTGCATCGAAGATGTAATTGCACTCATTTTCCCCCATTGGCATAAACAGTAGGTCTAGATGTACAACCGCACCCACTTCCCTTTCCAACCTTGGGTGCAGGGGCTCTTCCGGCCTTGCGCTGACCTTTCCTGGCAAGGTTCACAGGATCGGCAGTACTTGATGACCATCGTCAACATTCCAGCCCAATGGTAGAGCTCGCTTATCTTTGCGCACGTGGCACTCACCCCTCTGTGCTCACCTACTATACCATCGTGTAATGCCGCTATGATGTCCAATTGTCGATTCCTCCTGCACACAATCCGCTTGGGGTTCCCAACCTGCCGTTTTATAAACAAATGCTCATCTCTCACCACGTAGAGGTGCCTTATCTTCTGCGCCTTGTCGCTAGCATCCCTGTCTCTCTTTTCACAAGATAGAAGTAGACCCAGCTCAAGATAGATCCCATCGTACTCCTTCACCCGGAATGCCTCTTTAATCTCCCCTTCTTCGAACTCGTCATCCTGGCTTTCCGGAATCAGGATTTCGTTTTCCTCATGACTAAACAAGCCTCTCTGGTCGAAGTCCCCTTGCATGAGTGTATTTGTGAGCAGATACATCCCTCCCATTAGCTGCTCATATTCCTCTACCTGAGTAGGCCCTTCCTCTATTGTCCTCACCTCCTCCACCAAGCCATGTGTCCCTGTCAGTGCGAACTTCATCATCCACTGAGTGTCCTTGCCTCCCCACGGATCTTCTTCCTGAAAGGGCTTAAGGACTAAGTCGGCCTTTCGCTCATATCCTCTTGGTGCTATCCATATGGGATAGCTAACACAACTGGGTACTCGCAGCGCCCACTAGTTTATATGGAGTCGCACATCCTCTTCTTGATCCAGGAACCCGTCAACTGGCGGGGTGTCTTCGATCGACCCCTGATCCATGCTGTCCCAGTTGACACGGCTTAGACCGTTAGCCCTGTTCTTGTTCCCTGGGATCCTCTCTAGTTCAAAATTAAACATCCAAATGTGCGTCAACCATCGGGCGACAGTTGGGTCAGATGGTGTATAATTCTTCAAAGAGCAGGCTAGCATCGTAGGGTCCACTCTTAATATAAATCTCCTGCCAAAGACATAATTTCGGAAGATCCTTAGGCAATAGAGTACCGCAAGCGTCTCCTTCTTAAATTGAGAGTAGTTCCTCTCAGTCGTGTTAAGAGTACGGCTTTCGAATCTTAGCGGCCTCTCCTTTCCTTCAGCATCCGCCTGGATCAAAACCCCTCCTAATGCGGTCGGCCCAGCGTCCGTTTCGATGATGAATGGCTTTTCTTCAGTCCCTTCATAATTTGGCGCTCCCAGCACCAACCCTCCCTCCTTGAACTCTCCCTTCATCCTGGTTACCGCTTCTTCCTGGTCTTTGCCCCAAACCCACTCCTGGTCCTGGCACACCAGCTTCCTTAAGTGCTCAGTCTTGGCGGCGAAGTCTTTCACGAAGCTCCTCCAAAATCCGCAAGTACCAAGAAAGTTTCTCACATCCGTTATGGTCTGGAAAGGCACCGGCCACTCTAGGATTTTGTCTGTTTTCTTCACGTCTGGTTTCCGGCCCTTCTCGTTGCAAACAAACCCCAGGATGGTGGCTTCTCTCATGCAGTGCTTGGACTTTGGCCCACTTGCAGTGAGGTTGTGCTCCTCTAGCAGACCCAAGACTCGATCGAGATCCTGGATATGCCTCCAGACAAAACGTCTCACTCCGAGCTGCAACTCGTCCTCCTCTTTCTCCTTTGGCCCTTTGACCGTCAAGTCGTCGATATAGGGCTGAGTGATGTGTAAACTGACCGTTTGCATGGCCCTGATCATATGTCTTTGCACCATTGCCACCGCATTCCTCCAACCCTGGGGAGCCACATTCATGTGGATTAGCCCCCTTGGCGTGTGCATTGCCGTCACCGGCTTGTCGGGCGGGTATACAGGAAATTGATCATACCCGGAATAGAGGTCTATAAGTGAGATTATAGGCCTCCCCGCGCATGACTCTGACAGTGCATCCGCGTTCGGCAAGCCTCCCGCATCTCGCACCGTCACTCCATTTAGTCACTGCAGATCCTGTACCCACCGTAGCGTCCCGTTCGGCTTAATAAAGCAGAACCAAGGGGAAGCATACGGACCGCTAGAGTAGCCGGCAACATGCGTGTGCATCTTGCCATCCAGATAATCCACCACCATCTTCTCCTCATCAGGGTTTGGTATCGCGCACCTCTTAGATTCCAAGGCTCGTGGGGGACGGTGTGGATCCGGATCATCGGGATCTTATCCACATCCAGCCTCCCTCGCTGATCATCATTAAAGGCGTATGCGCGGTGCCTCTTTTTCATCAGTTGCACCATCAACGCCCGTTCCTGTGGTGAAAGAAAGTCCGGCTCCCCGACTATCAACTTCTCTTCATTTTCATCATGGATGCGGCATGGATCCCTCAGCGCCTGCTCTTGCATTCGCCGTATCAATCCTCGCTCCCGCTTGTAATAGGCCTCTTCATCTTCCGTAACGAGCACGGGAACAGGGCGGCACTTTCTATCTACCGTTTTGTACCATCTTTGGGCGCCCTGCTTAAGCCGTCCCCTAAAAGAGGTCGGCTTGTCGTCTGCGCCTGTGCCATCGCAAACCCTTTTCTTCCTCCAGAAAGTCGATAGATGAGTTCCACCTCTCCTGCCTGTGGGCTCTCCAAGACATGCTCTCTCAATGCCTTGATGGCCTCCGGGTCTGCCATCTCATGTGCCGCCACAATCTCCATAGCTTTACTTACATCCATAAGGCTTAGTGACAGCACCTCCGCCCTGCCTTCCTCCTCGGACTCCTCCGCGAGCCTCCGCCGCTCGTTCTCCGATTCCACATAGGTGAACAAGTCGGGGTTAGGCCTATTTCGCTCGCTTCCTCGCCCCGTGTTCCGGCAGGTGACAACTTCATAGTTCCCACAAGTTGGATCACTCAGGAGCAATATCATCGTTCCGTCGTGCTTGTTGAAGATCAGGGTCTCCGTTCTGCACATGAATGATCTGCCCAGAAGGATGGGATGGGTCACATCTGTCATGACGAAAAAGCACTTCCTTGCTCGCACCTTGCCAATCTCTATGATCACATTCGGCGCGGTGCCGCAAAAAACTGCCTTGCAGTTAGCCCCGTGCAACACACCATGATCTGCACGGTCGATCTTCATCCCGAGCATGAGCGCAACTCTTTCCCTAATGATGTTCATTTCAGCGCCCGTATCCATCATTGCTACGCACTTCTTCTCTTTTACTACTAATTCCACCAGTCCGCATGCCGCACACTTTCAGTCCATCCTCGTCCCAACTTGTGTCCATCCCACCTCCCTGGGCAGGACAACACTCAAGTGCACGTTGGGCACTAGCCTTCGAGACAATCGCCCTTTCAACTCTTCCCGGAGTCTTGGTGCGGACGTCAGAATATCTTTTAAGTTCATAAGGTCGTTATGACCTTCAAGGAGTCGGTCCACCATCCTCTCCACATCGAAGTCCTCCTCCAGCCTGACGGTGTATTTCCTCTTCCTGGGCACGCCATCCTGTGTCCCTGGCTCGACTCTCTCCTGCGCCTCTTTTCTCTGAGCTCTCTGCTCCATCCGCCGATCCTCCTCCTGACGGAGTCTCTCATCCTCCGTGTCGTCATCCTCTTCCTCTTCTTCCTGGACTTCAACCACCTCCTTTCTACGCTCAGGCTCAGGTCTCTTCCGTGGGGGTGCCTGACTTGGCACTTGGCTTCTTGGCTGACTAGGGCCCCCCTTACTTCGGCTCCTGGTTTGAGTCGCTTGCGGCGCCCGCCTATGCGGGGTGGGCGGCCTGAACATCATCCCTGACCTGTGGCCAGACCCTGCTATGGCAACCCTAGGACTACTCTGCTGTCCAGCCGCCGGCCCCGGCCCGGTCTCGTAGAGGAAGACCTTTGGGAGGTCGGCTCTCCACCCTTGGACTTCATCGCATAACTCTTTCAGCCTCCGTGGGTACCTCCTCATTTTTTCCACCAAATCTTCCATCTTTCCCAGGGTGGTTACGACCGGCTCCCCTTCATCCTCTCTCCCCTCATCATCCGACTCAACAATTATCGGCTCTTCCTTTATGGCCCCGGCCTTTAATCGTTGCGTAACCTCCTCACTATCCCCCGTGATCTCTTCGATTCTTATGGACGGGTCTTCTCTCTCCTGCCACATTCTAAACATGGCCGGGGCGACCGATGGCCCTGCCGCTGCCCGCCTGAGGGCTTCCTGCCTGATCCCTCCCGGGGTCCTGGGGTCAATGTGCTCCCCCCACTTGTCGTATATATCCCCATCCATACAAGAGGAAATCAGGCCCACAAGCTCATCATCCCGCCGTTGCTGGCAGAACCGAATCGTGTGGCCTACAATGTCACAATGCCAGCAGGTCGCGTTCCGCCAGTCGAAGCGGGGTCTCCCATACCCTTGGCCTCCTTGCTGACTGCCCTGATCACCTTGGCCTTGGCCCCCTTGGCTGTTCCACCTACCGCCACGTCCCCCTCCATTTCGGCCTCGTCCGCCATCCCCTCGGCCTCCTTGTCCCCGACCACCATTGCCCTGTCCTCCTTGCCCTTGGCCTCCTCCTCCCGCCACACTAGCCTGAGATGCTTGCTGTGAGGGGGGAGGTTGGGCCGTGAATTGGCCTTGCGTTGCCGGGAAACTCGGCGGCCCTGCGCTCGTTGACGGACCCGAGAATGGAACCATTTGTCCAGTATGGGTTTGGCCCCCTCCACACGAGGTACAATGACTATAGTTGGGCCAGGGTGCCGCTTGACAATGTGGTACCCAATGTCCGCAGGCCGGGGGCGGCCCCATTGGCGCCGGCCCTGTCGATATGGGCGTGGTTACGGCGGCTACTGGTGGTGCAGCAATTGCCTGGGGGGGCTGTCCTTTGCCAGACCCTTGGGCACCCAGCAACAGATTGTGTTGCTTCCGTTGGGCCTTGGTAAGGATTTGTGACCCCGTCTCCTCCCCACCGTAATCCTCTTGCCCGGCGCCTTCATCCCCCAGCTCTTTCCCTCGGCCTTGGACCACGGCTACCGCCTTTCTCTGCGCCTCGGCATCCTGGCCATAGCCTATTGCTGCGAGCACATCAGTGACGATCCTCTTTACCCCCGGGGTCCCTGATGCAGTAGCGTCCCTTTCCTTCCTCTTCCTCCTTTGCAGGCGCATCTGATGCTGCTCTACCTAGTCTAAACTCCCATCCTCCACTCCTCTATCGATGGTGGCCCAAGAAAGCTTTGCGCTGCCTCCTCCATGACTTGTCAGTTCGGCTGCCTCTGACCCAGTAAGCAGTCCCAAAAAGATAGCGCACTGCCTCTCCTCAGAGATCCCGTGAACTTTGCTTGCCTTCTTCTTAAATTCTTGTACGAAGGTCCCTATCGTGGTAAAGTCATCCTTGTTCATTCCCTCAAAATCTTGGATGGTAAGCAACCCATCACCCAACCGATACTTGCGCAGCATGTTCTCCCTGAATCTTGCCCAACTGTCGTGGGCGGCATCCACAACCTTCACGCACCTCCTGATGGTGCCTATGGAGCACGTACCTCGTGATACGCTGGAATTTCACCTCATCTGACTATCCCACCATTGCCTGCTCCACCAAGTCTAGCCAGTCTGAGACCCTCTCCCCATCAAAGTGGAAGGTCTCAACCCTCGGAACATTACTTGGAGTCTTCTCATGTCGATCTAGGGCTGCGATGAGGTCCTCAAGGGTCAGGACCCTTCCACCGCCACCATCCTCCGACATCTTGGTAGGCCTCCTTTTCCAATTTCCTGTTAAGAGCAAACCAAAGGCACTCACCTACTTAGCATCCTACTCCAACCTGGTCTAGCCCGCATTTCTCACCTAGCCTCACCCTTGTCGTGAGTGTTGCCACCCTTTACGCTCTTGCTAGGACCGGACAGACAATCAAATACACATATACCGGCGCTAACTTCCCCTTTTTATACTTAGTCCCTCATCACTTACCTTTCACTTCAACCAAACTTGTCACTCTCTTATGCCTATTTTCTCACTTGTATCCAGATGTCGTTCCACCAGGGACAACGGTAGGCTTCCGTTATCCCCGACAACGGCGCCATCTGTCGAGCGCATCGGCCCGGCACTGCTCGTGGCAGCGCGGGACCCTCTCGGCCGCGTCATGCAGGAGTTGGACTAACCTTTTCGCGAACACACAAATGGAGCTTCCTTAGGCCGCTCCGGCCGAGTGCGCCAGCCATACCTCTCGCGAGCCCCTACGACAGGATAGGGCCTAGGCGAGGCACAACTTACCTCCACCTTACGGGAACTGTCACCTCCCTTCGGTTGGTGTATCCCCGCCGAGCTACCAGTCCACAGTACGAAAGCTTCTCGATTGCAATCGCAGAGGTGGACCAGACGAGGGCGTTTCTCGTTCACTGTAGCATAGGGGGTACGCGCGGTAGCCCGCCTATCGGACCCGCACGAGGACCGACACCTTGGGGGTTGAAGTCCCAAGGGCGGTTCGTCGTCGGTCGGCTAGGACATATCCCACTTACCACGCATACACTACTTTACAGACACAAAAGGAACGCACACACACACGCACACACGAAACGGCACAGCACAAACAACGCGACAACGCTCCTAGCCCCTCAGTAGCAGTCCCATAACCTTTCGATGCGAAATTCGTATGGGCGTTGCGTGCGAGGCTTAATATAAAAGTCGCGCAGACGCAGAGCTACTCATATTGACTCGCAATGCGAACGTGCGCAAGCGGTCGCGGCAATGGCGTACTATATAGTACTTACACCCATGCGGTCCTCGTTGATCTTGAGGGCGGCATTCGACACTCAAGTGTCGGCTGACACGCGCCTTGAGGGTTAATCTTTCGACGCTGGACAACCGCCATACGCGGTTGAAGACCACACCCTCTTCTGCACCCTGTGCAGAGGGGTTGAGTAGACAACTTTAAGCTATCGAGGCGGTCAAACATCAAGGGGTTTGACTTTGACGGTCGCCACGGACTATAACTCCAACCATGAAAACGCAAAAAGGAAACTCACTCCAATTCACATTAGCAGATGGGCCCCTAGAATGGAAGGGGGTCGACAAACCCAAACGACACGCGCGAGGAGGAGGCCCGATATCCTACCCATAGGCTACCCGGCGTCCGGGATAATGAGGCCCGTACACGGACTCCCATAGGCCGACCGGGACTAGTCCTCCGCCCACGTGTCGCTTCACGTTACCAAAGTCCCTATTTCATTAGTTGTGTCGCGCTCGTGGTTTCGCCGCCTGACCCATAACTCCTTCAGTGTGGGATGCGACGAGTACTGCGCTCGCGAACTTAATATGAGATTGCCAGGGCGCTGGGCTTACACATACTATCTCGCTACGCAGATCTACGCGAGTAACTGTAATGACGGCGCTTTATGTAGTGCCCATACCCAAATGGCCTATTCTGAGCCATGGGGTTATCTCCGACGCTCAGGCACTGGCTGAAGCGCTAGCTAAGGGGAAGCAACTCTTTAGCAGGCGCAAAACCGGCCTGAGGGTCTTTCCGCCTTCTGCACCTTGAGGTGTCCCAATGGGTGCGGGGTAAGACGACCCCTAGGGCGGGAAGGGGTTTGGAGCGGTGGTGAGTTGTCTGGTGCATCACCAGCGATACGCTAACCCTTCCGCCCGGAACTTTATCGTTCCACCAAGATAAATCGCAACAAGGAAGGGAAACAAGCCCTTTTACCGTTTATTAAAGAAAAACTCCTCTCGTGTTAGATTCGGGGTCTTTACTGCGCGGGCACTTCAGGCCGCGCTAATTCCTCATGTAGGTACACGTACACTTGCACATACATACGCACAAGGGGGATAATTATGTGACGATCACTTCTCACAATCATAGTGGGTCTCCTTCTGGTTATACATATATGTGCGACCGCAAGGCAGCCCAACCAAAACCCCAAGTCTCTGAACATACCTGCAATCACATCAAAAGTCAGACAAGAGTGCACACACTACACGGAGTCAACTCCAACCAGTTCATATGCTCATACCCCTTCCTTTAGCCATGCAAGCCCCAACCTCCAGCCAACCAACCTTAAATAAATACCCATTACCTTTGTTAAATCGCCATTCAATAAAAATCCGGGTGAAACCCTTAACAAACAAGAAGATTACCAAGGCTAAAGCCTTTTAGGTTGAGCGTGGGGACCGAGTAGGAATTGAGTCGTGAACTGACGAATCAGCAATCGACCTATTATCAGTGATAACAAATGATGATTTTTGCAGGATCAGTTGAACTAGCCTAAGTCCTGAATCAGATCGGCCTGTAACATAAGACAGGTCAACGCCAAAGACTAAACATGTAAGCCTTATGCGAACTATCTTCTATATGGTGGTTCTATCTGACCTTCCGGTAGCCAACTAGGTCTGAGCCTAGTCCTTAGTCAGGGCTCAAAGAAAWGGTAGAYCTCAGGTTKGGTTTTCCCTATACAGAGTGGACTGCCAACTCTGCCAACTTTCATAATATAATCTAACTCCTCTAAACTAAGAAAAATTTCAGCAGCACTTCCCGTAGGAGAACAGTCTTTCCAGAATTTGTATAAGCCTGAATATAAAAACGGGAATAGTCTTAGACTTTTTAAAGCTCAATTTTGTCTAATTCCCTGAATTAGTGAAAATTTAGGCAACACTCCCTTTAGAAAGGGAGACTTCCCAGATTCTTACTAATCCATATATGATTCAGACAGTTGAACTTTTGGAAAGTCAGAGATTTGTCTAACTCCTTGGATTTGCAGAAATTTCGGCAGCGCTTCCCGTAGGAAAAATGGCTTACCAAGATTTATACAAGCCCAAGTATGAGAAGAGTCCTCAGACAAATGCAGAAATCAAACTAAGTAAAAAAAATTATCTTAGAAAATGCAGGAATTGAATCTAACTCCTACCACTCAGGCACATGCAGGCCAAACCACAAAGGTAAGTACTCTCACCATCCCCAAGTTGATTTAGCAACATTAGTTCATAATCTTTCACTATTTTAACCCTTCATACCCTGCTTACATAGGGCATTGGGACTGGTCATTCATCTTAGAAACAATGCTTGCCCTCTGCCTTAGTAATACACGAACAGGTTGCACAACTACTTTTCTCTTCATTGGGCATGTGGTCAATCCATTCATCTTAGAAACAATGTCCGACTAGCCTTGTTCGCTCACAGGGAGGTATATGAATAGGGGTTAAAATGGGAGGTTGCATACCGCTCAATCATTCAACACACAGGGAGGTATATGAATAGGGGTTACACTGGGTTTATAATGGAAAGCAATGGTTACCTCTGAGTTCCCTGCCTCCAGAACTCCTCCTGAGTTCCGGCAGGGCTCCCGCAATCGGTGGGGCAACCTCCCACAAAGGCCTTGGCCCAGATGACGGGTTGCAATCCCACATGCCGCCTTCCTCTCCAAACCCATGGACTAGACTGACAGTGAGAAGGGCAGAAAGAGAAGCATCAAGTCTCTCAGATACAAGAGGCGTTCACTCAGACTCGCGTGAGAGGGCCTTGAAGTCTTCAGCGCATGAGGGGCCCCGTAATGATGGCCAAGAGTACAACTTGGTCAACTCCCAAAGTCAAACAGCAAGACCAACCAGTCCTGACAGACTCCCAAGTTCGCAGCGATAGCCACTCCCCTCGCGTAGCCCCACTCTCCAGGTCCCTGCGTCCACAGCCTTTCGTGCCCAAATCGACAGCAATAGTAGCAACAGCCTTCCATGCCCAACTGACGGGAGCGGCAACCGTGTGGTCCACAGAAGCAGCTCGTAGTAGATTCAGCAATCGCTGCTGTACAGCCGGTCGCAGTA